AACAAAGCAATATTCGGACAGACATTTTTCAAATATCCAGAAGAATCTTCTCCAAAGGAAGAGGTTCAAGGAAGTGGAAATAGAAACAATAAGAATGGGCTAATACATCTGCGGATAAACCCTTCAATAAGAAATCGAAGCAATCGAAGATTGAGAACTATCATATTTTAAAAAAAAACTTATGAGATCTGAGTATTGGAGCTCCTAAATTAAAAAAGTCAGAAAAAAGGAAAGCTTCTTTAGCTAACACAACAAGAGAGGGTGGGCAACACTTTAATTTTAAATTTTTGTATTGTAAAATTACCAATGCCGAAGATTGTTATGAAATTCAAATCAGGAAGTCATTTGCTATTAATATTATGAAGAGGTTTTGTCCTGACGCATTGACTTTCACAAAAAAATCTAAGAAGGATCACAAGGCCCAGAAATTGGTTAATGATGGAGTTAGGATCAGCTTCTGAAAGAGGTGATGAAAATATGCTTTGGAAAAATATGAAACAAGTTCGAAAAATTATGATCATTTCTGCGACATCAATATAAGGTATAAGGTCCCCGCTAAAGCATAAAAAAATCATATGAATGCAATTCATAATATGATTGGTTATTTGGTTATTTGTGTACCTAGTCCAAATATAATAAAACAGCATATGATATAGTCATATTTATACTATATATTTTGATTTATAAACAGATAGCTAAACACTTTCAACTTTACAACTTACAACGCTCTCTTTCTTCACAATATACAAATACAGATAGCTAAACACTTTCAACTTTACAACGCATCTCTTTCTTCACAATATACAAATACAGATATCTAAACACTTTCAACTTTACAACACGACTCTTTCTCCACAATAAACAAATATGCCAACAGGTAGAATACCCGAAGTAGTTTTACAAGAAGTTAGATATCGTGGTGAGTATTTATTGTTCTTCACTATATTGTTCTTCATTATATCAACGTTAAATAATCTAACATGTATTTATATGTTAGATTATTGGGAGAAATCTTATACTCTATGGGGAAATACAGAAACGTGGGATAGCTACTTTCAAGAAAATGTACAAGAAGCAACAAGACTAAGTTCACATAATGCTTTGAGTGCTGATTTAAAAATTTTGATTCGAAAACTAAAATCTGGAACAAAAGCAAGATGGAAAGCATTAGCAATGCAACATGATCTGGTCAGTATTTTTTGCAAAATTTGTGTGTTACGCCTTATTAACCAAAACATGCACTGTGTGTGCTACGCCCCTCACTGCTGGTGTTGGGGAAGAAGAATGTCTGGTCTCTACAACGTGCTGTTAACCAAGACATGCACTGCTGTGTGCTACACCCCTCACTGCTGGTATTGGGGAAGAAGAGTGTCTGGTCTCTACATCACTGCAACGTGCTGTTAACCAAGATATGCACCGGTATTTGCTACACCCTCACTGCTGGTGTTGGGGAAGAAGAGTGTCTGGTCTCTACATCACTGTAACCCACATATGACTTAGCAAATTCTCTCCTTCCTCTCTCTCTCTCTCTCTCTCTCTCTTTTTGCTAATATTTTTTTTTGTCTATTAATGTCATAGAAAAGAAACTCCCTCTCAAATAATCTACCTATTTTCGATGATGACATTGAGGATGAGGATTCATCTATTGAGAAACTAACATTCGAGCCACACATTACTAAATTGCCATTACCATATAGAAGAGTTCTCGAAGAAATGATCATATAGAAGAAAAATTGCAACGCGCTCGAAATTTATCTCTTATGCTGCTCAAATGGTCTGTTGTGGATTATTCTCTGTTTAAGGGACCCAAACTCTGTCCAAATTTATCCAGACCAGCTGTTAATATGAATTTATTGAAATCCGTTCTTATGGAAACTCAAAATAGGAATCTTCGACACGCAGTTATAATTGTATATAATTTAATTACTAAAGAGATTGTAGATAATGTAAACTCTGACATACGACAATGGCTAGCAAGATTATTTGGAGTTCATAAGAATGAACACTGCGTCATCGATGTACAAACAGCATTAACAGCCATCACTTCTGTTATTCTCTACTCATCGACTCCCTGCCGAGGCCCAGGAAGTAAATCGTCAGAAAATCACATAAAATCACAAATGTGGGCAAAAATATTTTCTGACACATTTCTTATTGGTTCAGAAGAGATTGGTGTGAATTGGGAATACCATCATAAAATTCCAGGAAATGGTGGATGTGGATCATCAAGATCTGATTTTGCCGCTGTTATCTTTAATGGTGCTAATCAACAATTTCCATTTTTTATAACTGAATTTGAGAATGATGGGTTTGCAGTACACAAGGATGCAGTAGCGGTGGTAGCAGAAACGGCTTTTGAATACAATCGAATGCTTGCAGTTGCATATTATCTATCAGAGGATGAGGTGAATGCGACTCGTTTGCATATCGGCTTGGTTAATGGGACAACCATCCATTTGAGTTCGATGAAGGCAGTCTATGATGAAACAAAAAGTGCTTTGATTTATGCTTATGAGGATAATGGTGTTACTTTCAAACTTCATACTGGAGATCAACAAGCCGATATTGCAAGTGTTCTGAAGTTAGTGGCGTACCTGAGAACAAATGTATATCATGATGGAGTGACACTTAATATGCTGCTTAATAGGACAACAGACACACGAAATGGAGCATTGTTAGCATCTTTACCCCGTCTGCTGTCAAGTCACGTTTGAGTGAAACAGAATTCACTCCTTCAGCAAAGAGGGTTAAATATATTGATATTGGATTAAATACAGAGATACAGGATGTTTAGGGGTGGGTGTTAATAGTTAGGTTTAATTTATGAAAAATAATACTATATTATGTATATTATGTACTATATAAAAATCTTGTGGTATGCATGCTTTATGTGATTTACGAATTAGTATATATTTCTTAGTGGAATAATTAAAATTATGCTTATGTACAGTATATTATGTACTGTAATGCTATGCTAATGGCAAGTGACAATTATATGCGCACATGACTTTTTTGGCAAATTTTTTAATAGCGGATTAAATCTATCCCCCTTAATAAAAAATAAGATAAATGAATTTGCTCTGAACGATTGTAACGGTCGGTTGGTTACGTAATCGTTCAGGCAAAAAGGTCCCGCATCTCCGCCAAAATGATTTACAAAATTAAAATTGATATCGTATATAATCGATATAGGCACCGCAATGATCAAAAATTTATAAGATTTTTAATTAATATCCGTTTTTATATTTATTTTTTTTTTTATCGTATTATTTAATTAAATTTATTTTCTAGATTTATTTTTTTAATTCGCTATTTAAAAAAATCTATGAAAAACATCGTGTATAACCGAAAAAAATTAAATCTGAAATCAAAAAAATCAATTATTAAAATAAAATACAATAAAAAAAAAAAAAAAAATTAACTGAAATGAAAAATTAAAATTAGAAAAATTAACAATAAAATGTTTTCAAAAAATTTTGGTTTTATATTTTATTTATAATAAATGAAATTTTAAAGTTTAATTGAATTGATTACGCAATCAATCACTTAATGCTAAACGGGGACCACCGCAAAACCGCAAACTCTATTGAAACTATTTTTGTGATGCAGCATTAAATAAAATTATGAGAAATATACATCATCTATTATCGTTAACTGGTCCGAAGAAGTTATATTAATGGAGTTCGTTGTGTTTTAGATGCCTCTTCATTGATAGGTATCTGGACTTCTTCATTAGATAGTTAGATTATTTAATTTTTCGAAATTTATTATTAATATAATCTGAAAAACAAAGTTACCAAGTCATTTGTATCATTCAATATAAAGTATCCAATATTGGCTTTAAATCAAATTTTAATAAATAGATGAATTTTTAAGTATGTTAAATGTAGAGAGTTTATTGGTTTACGTAAATAAAAGCCTCGTAATTTTGTAATCATAATTTATAAAAACAAGTTAATACCAAAATATTTGGGAAAGAAGCTGCTTTTCGATCTGGGCATCTAAAAAAAACATGAAAAAGCATTTACAGTATATAAAGTTTATTATTGATATTATGTTGTCAAATTTTCGATCAAAAAAATTTAATTTAAGCTACTGCTAAATGTTAGATAACCACATATAGCTTTGTTTTACTTGGTTGACTGACCACCCCAGTGAATCATGACAAGTTGAAGAACTCGTTTTTAAAATAAAAGGTAAGGTCTTTAAATATTAATATTTTGTGCATTGTAATGAGTCCAGGCTAATTGCAATCTCTAGTTATCTGATGATCACGAACGATTATGAGTGTTCCTTTGATACTTTTGATGTTGTACAACGATAATAAAACGTAATGGTAACCCTATTACTACAACTATTTATCAGCTGGAAATTTTAATATTGACCAGCAGACACACACTGTTCTATCTGAACTGTCTGAACCCTTTGAATACAATACACCTATTTTATTTCTTAAAAATACAAATACAAAAAAGTGAACCACTGGTAGTTGATGGAACACACCAATGTAACATGATATTTGACGCAATGTGAGATCATCTGAGACGCAGTATGATTTGCGAGACTTCTCTTGCGTAATCTTCAAAAAATGTCACGAAATGGCTGGAATTAATTGTGGCGCACATGTGACGTTTAGAGGTGACAAATATGATTTCACTACCAAAAAAATTCTCTGTCCCCATAATACTTAGTAAAATGAAATGCAGAGGGAAGTGTCACCGGTGACAAATTATATCACGTGAAATTTCGTGACATTTTTTGAAGATTACGCAGTGGAAGTCGATTTAAGGATATAAAACACCTTTATACACTTTTTATTTATCAATAAAATCGTATTGTAACCCACCCCTATTTAAAGTATTTTTTCCTATGTATTTATCTACACACTAAGCAACTAAGAAACTTGGCATCTCGTCAGACACCTTGCGTCATTGGTTAAAACAAAGGAGAGAACGTCTCCTTTTGGTACTCGCCTTTACAACATATCTTCTATTTTTCCAGAGTTGACTTCTCAAAGTGCCGAAATCCCATTAACTCCCAAAAAATGATTCGCTAAAAGTGGCTTCTTTTTAATATTACAAAAATAATTCTGTCAATAAACGAATAATTATCAAGAAAAAGATTTCCAAACTAATGAAAATCAAAATTTTCAGTGTGCAAATGAAACCTTTTTAAAAAAAATTAATAACAAAGATGGGACTACCTAATAAACTATCCACAACAATAGAATCTCGTTGAACCAACTCATTCAACATGTTTTTCACATTACAAAGATCGAATCCTGATAAATATAGAATTTTTTATTATCCTTAAAAAAAAGTATAGACAGATTTCTTTTAAATACCACGTGTTGGCATGATGGCATTATTCTTAATTTTTTTTTAATGACTAGTAATCAATTCTTTAACTTTTAATAACATTTTTGATTTAAATGAAATTTTTTTAATATCTTTTACAAATGGTTTTTGTTTCCTGTTGTATCTCTCTTGCAACACCACCTGTATGTCTCATTCTATATTCACTACTACATATTTTTTTTTTTTTATAGAAAACAAATAATTTGACTCATCATGTGTTTGTGTTTGATTGGAATTGATTCTAGTTTTTAGTGGCGTAATAAGTGAAGCTATAATTAAAAAAATTTAATTGATGCAATGATCAAAAAAAAAGCAAATGATACTTACTCGAACGAGGAACCTTAAGAGAGAAAAATACTAAACAAAAGCGCGGAAAATTAAAAAGATTTGATCGCCAAAAATTTTAAAAAAATAAATAAATTTACAAATTAAAAAAAAATGAAAAAGCACACACCGCGTATTTCGAAGCGATCCAAGCCAAAAGGAGGATCCTAATAATTAATAATAATAATAAATGAAATAAATATCGTTCTATCGCTGGCCCAAAGCGAAAGAACCCAATTAAAGGAAAAAGTAAAAAGTTAAATAAAAAAATGAAACTAAAGAAACACGTACCGCAACAATCGACTCAATCGGAGGTTTATCATCAACTCCTGCAACTGCATACATGCGAAAGATGGGAAGACATTTTATTGCGGGATTTACACTAAAACAATGAACCAGTACTATAAATTTGGCCAGATTTAGCACAATCATAAAAATATTAATTCTGATCGAAATTGAAATTTTCGGCTAGGGTTAACATGTTAACCGGTTAACAGTTTAACCAACAGTCTTAAAAATGGGAAAATCTTCACCATCCGATTATACTTTAAAGTCGATTTACATATAAAATTTTTAAAATAATAAACTGTAAACCTTGGGTTCTGGATCAATTTTAAAATTTAATTTTACGTGAGCCGAAAATGCTAATTTGTGTGGCCTTTTAATACTGAATTGCAAAGTAATCTAAATAATTACTTATGTTTAAAGAATTGCAAGAAATTTCTTAAATACTTAACAAGGGACCCAAGATTATGCTTATGGACTACCCTCCCACCTGAGTAATTTTTGACATTTTAACGTCATACACATGAAATCAATCAAATTCTAGTGGCAGCGAGACCTTGACTTGATATTTACACGGAGGTTATAAATTTTGATGATCAAAGAAATTGCACGCAAGAATTTTATTCATAGATTGCATACGAATTGTCTTTGTTAATAATTCGTTAGCATTAGGATTAAAAAGGAAAGATATAAATTTGAATGAATATAAAGTACTGTATATAAATATGACATGAGTGAAAATTTTCCCAAAATAAAAATAAAATTATATTAAATTAAAAGTGAAATTAATAAACTATGTTCATTTATTCAGCAGAAGTTTTGCTCGACTGTTGATATTACCATTTTCTATAATACTCAGAAATACATTTACTCTCCCAAATTTAGAAGATTTATTGTTGGAACTGTCAGAAAAATACTTTTCATTATCACAACCAAGGCTCATATCATCATACGTATAAGTGAAAGCTTTGGTACCACTTCATGAACTGTTTGTTACGTTTAACTTTTTGTCATAGCAAGGATGACAATTAGAAATTTGTAGTTCTTGATTTATTTGAAACCACTAATAAAGTAGCCTGTGACGGTTGTGCTACCTTCTTCATCTTGAGCAAAGACCACAGGACCTTTAATTGGACCTTCCGAAACCTTTTCATTTTTAGGACAATCTGGATCAAAAATCTCATTGTTGAGGATGAAAGGACACTTGGTCGCACAAGTATTTCTTTGTTCAAGTGCATTATCAAGGTCATCATCAATTCTTATCACTGCCGAAGCAGCAATGACGGTTATAAATAAATAGGCTAAAGAAGTCAAAGCTATAAATTTTTCATATTAAAGTTAGAAAAAATACATCTTTTTTTTTTATAAATGAAAAATTTTTTTTAATGATTATTTCGTGAAAGCATTTATCTTAGATAGCAACTGACTCATTAGATCAGTCCTTCATTTCCCTATTTAGCAAGAAATAAACTATATTCAAATATTATTATAGGCGATTGTTATCTTTATTCTTTTATTGCGATTAACTATTTCTGATTCAATAAGCAAACTTTTCCTCACTTTCTATTACAATCGCCTCTGAAAATACGCGTTGGAAATCTAGGATTCCTTTATTTTAAAAATTATACAATTTGATATGGGATGAGATTTAATATGTTCCTAGAGGGATCGCAAAAATAATATTTATTATTGATGAATAAGATGTACCTGCTTGAATTAATAGCCGTATTATTTTATTTCATTCAGAAATATAATAAAGCGCCCTGGACGAATATGGAAATTGAATTTGTTATATGTAGATCCGCAAAGTGTCTATCGACTACATATCATGCTTTTTATAAATAATAGTTTCGAGTAGAGGCCTGCAACGGGCCGGGTCCAGGTTCAAAGTACCAGCCCGGATTTTTATAATTATGGTTATAATTTAAAATTGAATTGAAATATTTTATTATTCTTTTTTTTTAAAAAAATGCAAAAATGTTAAATTAATATGTATTATTGAACACGAGCAATCAACAATAGATAGTATATATGGTCCGGTGCAAAAAGATTGATACACCAATATGTTTATAATAAAACTTTTTTTTTTAAAATTTAATGTAAAT